AAGGCAGAACTGGAGGGACTTGGTGATCTTTTAATGTGCAAAGAGGAGGGTTTAAAGTGAGTCCCAGCTAACAGTGATTTCTAGCTAAGAAAATCACTCATTTAAAGTTATTAATTGGTAAATAAAAAAGAAATTAGCTTTAGGGGAAAAATCATGGGCCAGTTTCTATGGTTATATAACAAACCACCTCAAAATTTAGTGGTTTAAGAATAAAAACATTTATTTGATACTAATAAAATGCAATTGGGGCAGTGCTCAGCAGGGGTCTCTCCTCTCTGAACAGCTTCACATTAGTTTGGGGTGGCTTAGAGGCAGGGGTTGGGGGGGGCCTAGAATTATCTGAATGTGTGACCTCTCCCCATGTCTCTCCAGTATGGTGGCTTCAGGAATTTCAAGGTACTGAGAAGAGACAGAGATAGAGGTAGAGACAGAGATGGAGTGGGGGTGGAGAGAGGGAAAGAGGAAAGGATGGAAAGCAACACAGATGATGTGTTTCCATGCTGGACATTACTTCACTGTCAGCCCAAAAAGTTACAGCAGGTGGGTGGCTTGGTAGGTGTAGTGCAAACACTTAGGACATACAGAGAAACTGTATGAGTAATTGTGTTTTTGAAGCAATCCATGGAATGGAGGAAGGGAAGTTTACCTGACCTGATCCCTCTTGTATCAGTTTTCTATTGCTGCACAACAGATTACCACAAACTTAATGACTTAACAGACCATTAAAATACCCACATACTAGCTCACAGTTTTGTAGGTCAGAAGGCAGGTATAGCTGGGTTATCTGCTTGGGGGCATCACAAGGATGGAATCAAGGTGTTGGCCTGGCTGAGTTCTCAGTGGAGGCTCTGGGGAAGGTTCACTTCCAAGCTCATTCTTGTTGGCAGAATTCAGCTCCTGGTGGTTTTACAAAGGAGGTCCCTGTTTCCTGGCTGGCTGTTAGCCTGAGGCTGCCTTCAGCTCTTAGAGGCTCCCCACATCCCTTGCCATGTGTCCTCTCCATCTTTGACAGACAATGGACAGTCAAATCATTCTTGAGCTCCAAATCTCTAACTTCCTCCCCTAAAGTCAACTAGAGAACATGCTCTGCTTTAAAAGCACACATATGATGAGGTCATGCTCATCAGGATAATTTCCTTATCTTAAGGTCAACTGTACCATCTAACAGAATCTAATCTTGGGAGTAAAATCCATCAAATTATATTCCCAGGGATTATGCACAGCACGTACACCAGGAGGGCAACCATTCCTATATCTGACTTTAAAGCTGCTGGGTTGTATACCTAGACCAAGATTGTTTGGGGCTGACAGTACAATGTCAACAGATGAGACATGGAAATGAAACTATGCCACTTCTGTTCCACTTCCATGACTTTTGTCAAAAAGAATGTTCTGTGAATCCTAGCGCTTTTAGGTATTCAATAAATGTTTGTTGAAGACACTATGTATTAGACGGAAGAGGATCAATGTTTGTAAGGGTAAATGAAAGGCTTAATGTAAACAGGTAAATAGATTTTAAATGAGCACCTAGCTGTTTCCAAAGAGATTCTCTCCAGTTCTGAATGAATCACAATCCTGAGTCCTGAGAGAATAATAGGTGAGATTACTGCAAAACCAATTCAACATATGTTTGTAGAGTGAACGAGGGGACAAATTTATTTTGTTTGGTGACCCTTTGTCTATGGGACTAGAAGGCCAGTCCAAAACCACCATCCCGCCCTCCCCTACCAAAATGTTAACTTGGCCCTGTATATTCTTTCTTGGTGATTCCGTAGGGAAACTCCTAGAGATTATCATTCCTGCATTTCGTTAAATACTAAGCATCTTTTAAAAAACAAAATCACTAAAACTGTGAGTTTGAGCAGTACAAATGAGTTCATGTTAAAATACTGGAAATATTTTTCAGAAATATGTGTTTGCCTTGTGCTATACTGAGCTGCTATATGCTGAACATATATATGTGTGTGTGTGTGTGTGTGTGTGTATGCTATTTCTGTTCAATAAACATTAGTTATATTTTTTCTGTGACCCTATATAGATTCACTTCCAAAGTATCTGGTTTTAATAAATCTCTGTTTAATTATCCATGATTAATTCAATCAGTTATAATTGAGAAATTCCTTTAATCATTCTTTAACTCATGAATATATTAAAGGTTAAATATGATAAAGTACAATGTGGGAACCCCAATATTTTCATCACAGATGCATTTTCTTTTAATCAAAATAATTCTGAAGTTATTTTAATATATGTAATGCTTTTCTCATCCTGTGGTACATTTGTAAAATAGTAACTTATTAAGAGTAACAGTTGGGCTTCCCTGGTGGCGCAGTGGTTGAGAGTCTGCCTGCCGGTGCAAGGGACACGGGTTCGTGCCCCGGTCCGCGAAGATCCCACATGCCGCGGAGCGGCTGGGCCTCCGTGAGCCATGGCCGCTGAGCCTGCCCGTCCGGAGCCTGTGCTCCGCAACGGGAGAGGCCACAACAGTGAAAGGCCCGTGTACCGCAAAACAAAACAAACAAAAAAAAAGAGTAACAGTCACAGCAGTAAATTAGTAAGTACCGAAAATCTATTATGAACTGAACACTACCTACACACAACTGGTGCAGAAAAGAGGTGTTAGAAATACTACCTGCTTCCATGGAATTTACATGCAGTTTACATCCAAACAGGACACAGAGAGCAAGATATTATACATTTTTTAAAGTCTATTAGAACTGGAAGAACTCAGAGATGATAGTGATCTTTCAGTTGAGAAATGAGGACAGAAAACATACAGTAACTAGAAAACAAATAAATATAGCTTCCAGGAATGAAAATATATAAAACTGATATAGACAAAACCTGCTGCAATATTTGTTTCCTATCCTTCTGGTTATAAATTCAAAAAGGGTCGAAGAGTCTGATAGCAAAGTGACAGTAGTCTGAAAACAAGTGGCTCTCACCCCCCTTTTTTTCTGTGCTGTTCTTCCAGTCAAGGATTAATGCAAAAATAAAATTCTGAAATCCCTTCCTTGCCGGCCTCTGCATATTTTAGAAAAATCCGAGGATATAAGGTATCCCAATTTCTAATTGGCTGGCTGAAATCTTCGGTGATTTCTCCTACATTCACCCTCAGAATTTTATCTCTAGTCCTTGCAAAAACAAGCAAACAAAAACAAACGAGAAGCCCGTTTTGTATGTGTATGTAAAATGTGCACACCACTGTGCGAATGTGATCACATTAAAGCATGTGCAAACTTGGCAGTTAGGAAACATCCCTGCAATCGTTAGTACGTGAAATTTCAATCTCTTTGATGAAGATACCATCTTTCAGCCAAGTCCTGGCAGAAAACCTTTGGTTCCTGTGAGACCCCTCCCTCCCCAGTCAGCGCAGGGCTCCATCCGGAGGGATGGGGGCTTTCCTTCTCCATCACTGTTAGGCTTTCCCAGACCCAGGAGAAACCCTGGGTTTCTGCAGGGCACTCGACGCGCAGCTAAGTGTCCCAGCTCTGCAAAGGGCAACTGGAAATGGATTTAAAATGGCAACGCGGACCAATCAGCGCTGCCGCGCCTGAGGCGGACGTTTACATGCGCCTCCTCCCTCCACAGGCACAGAGGAACCTGGCGGTGCCGAACGCCTTACTTAGGACTGTAAAGTAGGCGGTTTTTATTCCACGGTGGTCTGTATTTGGGGGAAGGAAAAAAATTCTTCCTCGGGTGAAAGTTTTTATTTTGGAATTGGTCCAAAATAATTTTGGGTGTGATGTGTGAAAATCTCAACCTAATTTTTTCAGAGCTTTTTGTTATTCAAGGATGAAAAGAGGTACATTTTAAAATGTACTCCACCTTTTTAAAACGGACTGTGGTCATTATGGTGTTCACATAACTCAGAAACAGTCCAGGCTATAAAATTAGGACTTGGCAGAAAGGGAGTTCCTAGGGAGAAGGTTAAATCGAGGTAAATTGAAGGGAGAGTTGGACAGTTGGCTCAACTGTGGAGTTAGGAAGCTATGGGGTCCCCGCGTTGGGCAACCCCTCTACCCTGCGAGCGTTGGAACCCGGGTGCATAGCGCCAGCCAAAGGGAGACTTCGCGTCGCCTCCAGTTTTTCCCGGAGAAAAAAAGCTCAGGAAAGAGGCTTGGCGCGCTCCGTGTGCCTGTGTGCATATTGTTTGCACGTGTGCCTGTGTCTGTGAAAGTGCATGTGTTTCTGCGTGCATGTGTGCATGTAAGTGCGCGCGTGTTTGTTTACATGTGTGTTTATGCCTGCATGTGCTGTGGGAGTGTGCACGTGTGTCTAAGTGCACGTGTGTGTGTGGATCTGCGAGCATGTCTGTGTATGAGTGTGTGTGTGTATGTGTGTGTGTGCGCGTGTGTGTGTGTGTGCGCGCGCGCGCGCGCGACGGGTCGTGCGATCTGCGAGGAAGGCATTCCAACGCAGAACAGGGCGGCGGGGGCCTGCTTCTACTCCTCTTCAGTCGATCCCCACTCCTAGGAAACGAGAACTCTGCCGCGCGTGCAGCCAGACGCTTCCTGCAGAGTGTTGGCTCCGCATCGTGGAGGTGCAGGTAAAGGCCAAGCCCGTAAACGCGGCTCCGGGGGCAGCCACATTTCCGCGCCTTCCTAGGACAGCCGGCCAGGGGCGACCTCGGGCGGCGGGTGGGGCGAGGCCGGTGGCGAGCCGGCCCGGCATCCCCGGCCTGTCCCTTTAACCCCGCCGCCGGGCGAGAGCACGTGAGCGGGGCTCCGGGTGGCACCCGGGCGCCGCCGCCGCGGAGGCAGCTGTATTTCGAACGCTGCCTCTGGCCCATGGCCAGGCGCCTTGGCTCGGCGGTCCGCCTGGCCTCCCTCCTCCTCATACTTTTCCTAGGGCGCAGCCCCCTCCCCTTTATCCGCCCACGATTAGAGGTGGGCACTCCCCCCCATCCCGCCGCCCCCTCCCCAAGCGCGCGCGCGCACACACACACACATACACGCACACGCACACACACACACACATACATACACACTCTCATCCCGCTTGAATCCTGGGGCAGGAACTCAGAAAACTTCCAGCCCGGGCAGCGCGCGCTTGGTGCAGGACGCAAGAGCAATCAGCCCGTCCCCCTCCGACTCCCCGGTGCCGCTGCCGCCCGCTCCCGCCACCCGAGGAGGCGCGGTGCCACCCACCGCTCCGTCCCCTGCCCGCGCTCAGTGCCCGACCCGATCCCGGCAGAATCTCCCCATCCTCCCTCTGCTTTCCGACTGCCCAAGGCGCTATTTGTTTTCTCTCTCTTTCTCTTTCTTGCTCTGCGAGCGCAGAGCGAGGGGGAAGAGGAGGAGGAATTCTTTCCCCGCCTAACGTTTCAAGGGACACAATTCACTCCAAGTCTCTTCCCTTTCCAAGCCGCTTCCGAAGTGCTCCCGGTGACCGCAACTTCTGATCCCAAACTGAGAGGGTAGCCTCCCAACTTGAAACCCTCTTTTCCTTCTCCTTCGCTCTCCGCCTCCTCTCGCTACCTCCACCGTCACCTCCACCTCCGGCACCCACCCACCCTGCCGCCGCCACCAGCAGCGCCTCCTTCTCTCCTCCTCCTCCCCTCTTCTCTCTTGTTGGCAGCCGCTGGACGTCCGGTGTTGATGGTGGCAGCGGCGGCAGCCTAAGCAGCAGCAGCCCTCGCCGCACGCCAGCTCTCGCCCAACCCGCCTCGTTCTCCAGCCCTACCTCGCAGTCTCCCGAAAGGTGCTGGGCAGATTCCGGGCGTCAGAGGCGAAGCGGCTGCAGCGGCGGTAGGAGCGGCGGCGGCAGCGGTAGCGGCGGCGGGAGGCAGGATGAGCGCACGCGGTGAAGGCGCCGGGCAGCCGTCCACTTCAGCCCAGGGACAACCTGCCGCCCCGGCGCCTCAGAAGAGAGGACGCGGCCGACCCAGGAAGCAGCAGCAAGTCAGTACGCGGGCGGGGTGCGGGCAGCAGCCCACCTCCGCTCCCTCCGCGAGGGCCCCGCGACCCGCGGCCACCCGAGCGCGGGAGTCCAGCCGCCGCGGCCGCCGCACGCCGCCGCGGGGGCGAGCTACGGAGTCCCGGCGCGAGTGCGCGGCAGAGCCCCGGGCGCCCGCGCCCCTCTGGGCCGGGAGGTGGGAGCCACGGCGGGCGGGCGGCCGGGTGCGGGCTGGAGGCGGGGTCGGGCGAAGCGCGTCTTCGGACTTTCGCTATTGTGCCCGGCCCGAGTGGCGCGGTGTCTCCTGGTGACGGGAAGCGGCCGGGTCCGACAAGCCGGGGCTCGCCAGGCACTTTCCGAGCCGCTTTGCAGTGGCCCGGGGCTTAGGGGTACTCTGGCGGGTCAGGGTTGGAGGGGCTGAAGCCTCGGGGGCCGGAGGCTCTTTCTCCCGCCAACTGGGGCTGCTCGCTGGCCGGGGACTGGCGCGCCGCAGCCGCCCCCTTGGCGCCCTCCCCAAGTTCTCGGTGGCCTGAGACTCGCGCCCTCCCGACAAAGAACTCGTGGGCCCGCCCGGTTCTCCTAGGGCTCTTTAAATGCGGCCGCTGCTGAGGTGTCCCAGGAAAGGGGCTGGCTACAGGAGACCCTGGGTCCCCACGGGATAGGATTAAGTAGTTCAGCCAAGGGCGCGGTGGCAAGCAGTGTCCGAGAGGGTGCACGGTAGCTAGGGTCACTTCCTCGCCAGGCGCCCAGTCCCCCTTTTGCCTTGGGTGCCGCGCCTCAGAGCTGCAGACCTGAAACGTCCTTCTCCAGAGCGAGTGACTGGGGGTTGGGAGGGGACGATCGAGGGGCGCCCGGGACCCCGCGGAGTGGAGGGTTTTGTCTGCGGATGCAACCAATTAAGCGTGTAGCCTGCGCTTGCGGAGCTGCGCGCAGCGCCCGGGGTGGAGGGGTTTTGTTCGCAGCAATTTCCAAGACTCCGCGGGCAAGGATGGAGCGGGACTTGTCTATTGAGAACATTTAAACTCCGCTTCCGTGGGGTTTAAAGCTACTTCTTCGTTCTTTAGCCTTAAAGCGCTTCCTTCATGGCAAATAGGCCTATTAGAAAATAATCCTAGAGTCCCAAAGCTGCCCGAGAGCAAGGTGGGGAAGGCGAACAATGTTTGCTTGCCAGTGCGTTTTAGAAAAACTGCTGTACCTTTTTGAAATCATCAAAGGAAACAAGCCAATCTAGAGGCCCCTGAGTTTTCCCGCTCTGCCCGGGCGACACTTTACATCGCGTTAGGATCCTGTTTTACACCTCCCAGGAAGTCAGTGCCCTTCCCCCCGCTCTTGTTTCCCACACGCCACCCGGCTCACTCTAACTACTAATTGCCCCCCACCTCCAAAAAATAATCCAAAAGAAATTGCAGTGGGGTCTGGAGGTGATTGGAGGTTTTTACCTTTGAGTTAAGGCAGAGTTCACAAAGAAAGAAAAATGTGTCTCCTATGTGTTTGCTCCGGATGTGCCCACTGGAGCTAGTGGTCCCACAGAAGCTTGCAGGAAACCTTCCTCAGAATCTCTAAATAGGATGCGAATTTTCATTGAAGACTTTTATGCATTTTAAGCTAATTCTCATTTAATAACCGAATCTGAATGAGATGTAAATTGATGATTCACTGGATAAATATTTAGAATCTGGAATATTAATCATCGCATTCTCTTAACCACTTGAGTATTTACTACTTGGCACAGACGCCGTTTAAAGTTTTGCTAAACCTATTGATAGTTTCAATTTCTCCTTCCCAGACACTCCCATTCCTCCTTACTACCCACCCCCCATCCCTTTTATTAGTTTTCTTCGGTACACCCCCATAAGGGTTTTCTCAAAAGAAAGTTTTGGAGAAAATATTTATTTTTATCAAAAGACATTTAAATCTAGACTGGAGACCATTCCTACATCTCCAATTGGCAGTGAAGAATTGAAGCAATTACCTAGATAATTCAAGCAAAGCCTCCCACGACAGATTTACCATAATTATTTGGAAATTTCAGGAGGAATGGAGTTATTTTAAGTTGAAGAACTTGGATAATTGCTCCAGTATTTCACTCAGTGTGTTGATTGAGTTATAACTGACCTACAATATAGATATACAGAATGATCAAAAGCCACCTTTTTCAATATGGGAGATTGTTGAAATATTTCTGATGTTAGCTTCATATTTCTGTTGTTTAAAATGCTGGTATAGTGGAGAGTAGTATTTGTGTAAAATGCTTATTATTTCTATGCGTTGCCAAATACACAGCCTTGCATATTTTACACCTTAAAATGTATAACTTTCTTTCTAGAACAAGCAACCTTTGAACAGTCAGCCTTTGTTACCTTTTTCGGGTTGAAATAGAATCTAGCTTTCATATGCGAAATAGAATTTCCTCTATGAATTCTTGGATTACAAGTATAGTTATTTCCCCTTTCTGTAAACTCTGTACCATCATCATCCGTTTATGCTTGAACTGAATGTGTTCCAACAGTTCTGTTGAGCAGCACAGGCAGAAAATACAACTATAGAGTCAGGGTCAATTTCTTTCAGCCATTCTTGCCACAGCAGCATTTTTTTTCCCCCCGAAACTAGGAGCCAACCGGTGAGCCCTCTCCTAAGAGACCAAGGGGAAGACCCAAAGGCAGCAAAAACAAGAGTCCCTCCAAAGCAGCTCAAAAGGTGAGATTTCTTACGTCCTCCCAACTTTCTCAACGCCCAGAGGAACCTCCCTGTAATTTTCCCATTCTAGATCCGCACCTAAGGATTTCTCCCAAGTGGGTAACCCAAGACTCATTTCCTACCTTTAATATTGGTGAGATTTTCAAGCAGATACTTAGTATAAAAAGTTCATGAAGATGCTTACAGTGCTGTTTTTAAACAATCACCAAATAATAAGAAACTTAAAACGGAGATGGGAGGGGGAGGTGGGGGAGTGGAGAATGAACAATTAAGATTTGCACCAGTTGTGAAATAGTTAAAAACAAATCAGAGCTATAGATTTTGTCTGGTGGCGAAGTTTTTGCAATTTCCTTAAAAAATAATAAAGATTAATTTACTTTGTGCTTATTTACATGATTATTGGAAAACCAAATCCCACTATTAAAGTTAAGTACTTTGCCAAATAGATGATAATTAGAAGTAAATCCAATTATGGGATTCTGGAAAAAAATTTTCACTAATTTTACTGCTTTAAATGTGCTGATAAAGTACCTTGTTTGTTTACAATAAACCTACAATATAATATATCATAATCTCTCAAAAGGCTTTCCACCTCAGGTGATAGAGAAATGTTCCGAATAGGACAATGAGAAATATTTTAAACAAGTATTTGACTCATTTATTGTATATTTTTGGGCAGGATAGAACCCAACCAAGTGTAATTTCCAGTGTTTTTCTTTATAAATTTTAAATTGCAGTTTAAAAACTTCATGTTTGGTGGTATTTGAGCTAACAAAGAAGAAATATCTCAGGATCAATGCGTAGACAGAGAAGGGAAGGTGAAGATAAAATTCACATTTTTTAAACTTTACAAATAAATCAGAAAAAAAGTTTCTGTATTTTATTTGTGGGTTTGTATGCTCGTTAAAAACAAAGGTTCAAAATTCAGAAGTAAGTTTTGATATATCTTTACAGTCGATTTGAGTACACCATGTACAGTATTTGTTGAAAATGACTGTATGCTCATCTCTTGAGGATTAATGTTTTGTGTGGTTTTCTCTGTGAGTGTGAGCACCTACCATATTATATTTGATAGTTTTCAGTGTTGTAGACTTCCATAGCAACCAGTGATACATATAAAGTTATTTAGGGAGCAACTATGAGTTCTTCTCTGTTTTGTTTTAACAGTCTTGAACAGAGTTGAAAGGGCAGATTTCTGATATATTTAAATAGAACTGCTTCTCAGAGTGAAGATTTAATTGTACTCATATTTAATCACTAAACATTGAAGTAGCTCTAAATTATCTTGTCATTTAAAAGTGCCTGTGTAATCTGATATTACTAATATGAATACTTACTATTTGTTTTTTTACCTGCTTTATTCAATTTTAAAAAAGGGCCAATTTAACATAGGGTTTTTTTTTGTTGCATTAAGTTAATTTTATCTTACTTTTACTCTAATGGAATGGCAAAGAAATATCTTGGTAGCTAGCTGACAAACATTTAAACTATGATGTAATTGCTCTGAAAAATGCATCATAACATCTCCCAGGAAGAAATCTGTAAATCTCATCATAAATAAATTATTTAAAATTCAATACAAAAAAAGGGAAAATGAATTACCTCTCATATTTTACTGTATTACTCTTTTTTTGGAACGAGTAAAAAGGTGCTTCCATCACCTTCTCTTCAGTTTGAAAAGTTTGCCACTGACTAGCAAAATCTTTATTGACAAAAGGAAAGCTGAGACTTGTGCCTAATTTACCACCTAAAGCAAAATAACAAAAAGTTGGTTTCTTCCCAAGTAAGGTTTGACTTATTTTTAGTTACTTTGGTGATAGGCATTTATAAATGACCCTTAGGCTATTCATCTTTCTGATAATTCTTCATGTGTATGCACATAGTATTACAACTTCCAAAACAGAAGTAGGCTTTCTTTTTCCGAAAGAAATTTTTCTCTGAAATCTTTCATTCTTCCAGACAAAATTATTTCACACAATTCTGTTATAAAAGTCCCCTTTCTAATAAAAATGGATACGTATTTTTGCTCAGAACCTGACTGTTACATTTCTTCAGTTTTATAAATTACGCTTCATCTGGAGAAGATAACACTTTGCAAAATAATGAATGACACTGATGAATTGTTCATGGCATGTGTAAACTTAAGGTATTTTCACTTTCGAATTGGTATTTATTGAGTTTGCTACTACCCTATGTAAACATGATTATCAAACATATATTTGTTTATTAAACATATGTTGTATTCTAACAAAACATATTTTTGTTAGGACTTTGAAAAGTTATCTTTTTTAGAAAAAGTTACATTGTTCATAACATGCTAGACTGACCAGAGTAGAGATGAGAAGTCTTCTATGATTAATAAATTGGGAATTCTCCTGCAAACTGAGACTCACCAAAATGGAAACTATATAACAAAACCTGGTAAGTATATAAGAGAACAGAACTCTAAAATTAGAGGAGATACAGTGTACACTGGGATACTGATGATGTTGTATGTTTAAAATTTCTTGCTGCTTGGAGTTTCTTTACTTACAAAGTTTGTGTTTGGACCCAGTAACTGGCCTTGGGGCATTTGAAAACAAAACTGCTTGTTGGAAAATTAGCAGTGTGACACTTGACAATGCATGAGGAAAGTTGCAAGACCAAGTGGAGGACTACTAAATTAGCAATCACTTTAATTTCAGGTCATATTCAATATAAACTTGATTTGTGTAATATATAAAACAAACATTTATAAAAACATAATTTGTTATGCCTGGAACTTTTGGAAGAGAAGATAATTATTCTTCACTTTGCTTCTATTCCGTTATGACAAATTCCCATGGATAACCATTATGTAGAAATTCTAGTTATTCCTAAGAACACCAATCTGAGTGCTCAAAGTTCATCCCTGAACCAGTTTCATATTGTTATCTTAATAAAAGAAATCAGAAGTTAATGTTTTCCTGAATAAATAATTTATTCGTGTGAGTATGTGTGTGTCTGTGTGTGTGTCTTGACCCTTTTATTTATGTCTTAGTTTGAGGTATACCTGTGACCAGTTGGCTCTTAATTTCCTTTTTGTTTTATTTTGTTTTCCTCTCCTGTTTGTGCTGGATGGAAATACTTTGTATTTTCACATTTCTCATGTTTGGAGAGAAGAAAGATACCATCTCCTTTATGTTTAGTTTAGGGTTTTTGTTGTGCCTGTTTAATGAGAGAACACTGGAGGGGTTTCTTTCACTAATTCTCCAGTTTTTAAGGTCACAAGTCAAATTCATCTGTAAGTCAGGCCAATTGTCATTCAGGTACTTTTAGGGAAAAAAAAAATTCTGAGATTGAATTAATTTTAATAGGAAGAATTGCGTATAAAAAAGATCTCAGGTGTGAGATAGCCCTACTTCATGATATCACAGATTTGCTTGAACTTCCTTTTGACTTTAGGTTGTAGTGAAGAGAAATAAAGAGCAAAGTACAAAATGAAAATACCATCTAGGTAAAGTATACTTCAAATAATGTGTTCAGGCAGACACCTAATTTATATTTTCCACTTGCCTAAACAAAGAAGACTTGATACGAATTGGATACTATAGAGGAAGATTTGTGCTCCTTTTCTAATCATGTTCCTAGGAGGTTGGTTGATTTTTCACAAATGATTACTAACACCAAGCACAGATATTTTAGGATGAGAGAATGGGTTTTCCTCACCATTTCAGTTAAATATTAGCGCATAGATGCGGAGCAAGGACATGATTTTTTACGGGATATAGTAGGTCGAGCTGAAGAGGGGAACCAAAGGCATCGTTATAGGTAAGTCAGGGAAAGATGGTATAGGCAGTTGTCATACAATTCCAGCCTATGGCGTCTATGTTACTAGTACGAGTTATTTTGAGTTCCTCTGTGTTTTTATGGGCAAGTAACTTCCACTGGGACTCAGGGCTCTATCTAAGCATACAGATAAATCCAGTCAGGTGGAATTATGTAAAGCCCAACTGTTGTCTCCATTATCTTGGTATTTTAGGCTGTCTTACCTAAACAGTTGACTCTTTTTTTTTTTTCACTTAACTTTGCCAGAGAGGACCGAGCCTTAATGTATATCAGTAAATTCTCTCTCACAATGCCTTTGAGTCATCGTAGATTATGATCCAAATATGGAAGATTCAAATACATTTGAGTTATTTTCTGAAATCACTTTACTTCAAGGAACCCAGAGATCTCATTCTTTGCCAGTTATTCTTCTGAACTTTTTCATCGAAAGCCCCTCATTACTTTGACTGACTTCCAGCTCTGGTTCATTTTTATCTCAAGGTCTCAACAGATCATTTTGCTCAAGAGAACATAACAGATTGGTATTCTGTTGCATTTCAGTTCTTTTTTGAGACTAGATGGATGCTGAAGAGCATTTTATGTCAGTTAAATCATTCAGACCCATCTTATCTTGTTAGCTGACTTTCTGCAGTTTCCAGAGCTTGCTCTGGAACCATATAGCTTGGCACAAGGGTGGAACAATGAATTTTATATCCTAGATGCTGAGAATTTTAGCTCTGAATTTTTATAGTGCCAACCAGGAGAAAAAGGTGAATGGAGAACTGATTCCATTTTAGGCTGCTGCTTTATTATTCTATATTGCTTTAATCCACTGAACAACGCTGAATGGCATCTTCTAAATGATTTAGCAAGGAGTAGTCACAGCCATTTTTTTCTCCAGGATGATGTAGGGAGTAGTTTGCTCGGAAGGTCGCCCTTATGAACTCTCATATCATTGCTATTGATTTTTCTGATTACAAAGGAGGGAGAGGAACAGTTAAAGAGGAGAATCCTAAACTTTGAAAATAACTTTTCCTGTTATTTTGGCCTTGGCTTTAATTTCATGTTTGTATAGGTGAAGACAGGCATGTGTAAATAATGACATGGGAGTTGACAACAAGGACTTCCTTGGGGAAAATGAGCATGAACTACAATGGATGACAGAATTCACTTTTATTTCTTTTTTGGAAAATATGTAGCGATGGCAAACTTGT